AACAAAAAAAAACACAAACATAAAAGGAAAGATGAAAGTTGTGATACATGGGAAATTGTGCAAGAAATGGTTCCCATATCTACTCTCCCCGTTAGAGTGAAGGAATAAAGAACACTTTTGGAACAAGCATAGTCACCTATTTGGCCCGAAAATAACACTCAAATCCTATACAAAACAAGTTAAAATGACACAAAAGACATTCAAAAGACAAAGAACACACAGTCAGAACACATCAGTAACACTGTCACAGACAAACTGAGACTGCAGTCTTGTGTCTACAGACAGACAACAGCGGCTGAGCTGATATTAGAAGGATGCTGGAGTGTTATGCTTGCAGTCCTACAGGTTTAACAGTTGAAAGGACTCTGTCAGAGGATAAAAATGGAAGGTTGCTGCAGGCGTAACTTTGCTCCCTTTGACACGAGTAACATTAAATACAAGATATGCAGTAATAAAGTGTGTAACTGTGCTGGAAAGTGTTAAGAGTTGCATCAATACAGTGATTCAAACACTGACGTAATGCTCCTCTAAATCTGAGGTGTGTCCAACTGTGCACGCCCTCACATACACACACGTGCAAACATACACACACGTGCAAACATACACACATACACACACACACACACACACACACACATCACAGGCCAATGGTGGTACATCTACAAGAGAAAACAAAGGACAAAATTTACATGTAATCTACATCAGGAATACAATCACTTTAGAGCACATGTTAGACTATCAAATGCACCCGGCTCCTTAAACCGTTCTGTTTGCATGATGTTTGGTTCTGTTGTGGCCATTTAGATTTGTCCCACTGCACCCAAACAAGCTGCCACAGAAGTCCAAACAGTATTAAACCAGTGTTAATGTTTTCCTTTTATACGTGCATAAAGTATTTAACAATATGATGTATGTTCATGGTGGGATTCTTTTTCCCCAAACAGTGTCTTTAAACAACACTCGAGTGTCATGTCGAAATGCAACAGTGATCCGAAGTACCTGGCCAACCGAAGCAACGTCTCCCAGTGTGTGAAATGAAATCCCGGGTTAGTCAGTTTATGCAGAAGTCCTCCAGAAGTCAACAGTAAAGGGAATTCAATTACAGTATATTCTTCTGTCAAAGGGCGTCCTATAATGGATGGTGTCAGCTCCTAAGGCTGATACAGAATCTGTGGAGGGAAAGTATACGTGAGCCCGTGAGGTGAACAGCTACCGGAGGAAATTTGATCGTAGCAGTTTAGCTAGGCACGCAGGTCAAACAGGGATCCCCATGCGAAGCTTCTTCTTCTTCACCGTCTTCAGGCCAGTGAGCCGTCGAACGTCATCTTCATCCGACTCATCCATTTCATCGTCTGCTGAGAAAAGGATCTGAAGGACAGGAAAGAGACGCGAATATTAGTGGGAGGCTGGTTCATGGAGTCTATCACAATATCACAGCATTCTGGTTGGTTAATAAAAAGATTTCTTTCGAGTAAATGGCTAAATGTTGTAACACAAATCATGGGTAGGTACAGTTAATCCAACCAATGTGTGTGAAACAAGAGATACAAATTCCTTTAATAAGTTTTCCCTTCATAATAATTCAGTAATATGCCTCTAATCCTCAAAAGCAAAATCATGCTAAGCAAGAGAGTACACAATACAGTAAACATTAAGTAAATGTATAGATGAATGTCTTTAGTATCTCTTGTATTGTGTGTTTGTATATGAGGCAATGCTGTCACTTTACTAAATAAGTCCGTAAGTGGAAGTAAAAACCTGATAGTGGTTATTCTATTTTGATTATCAACATAAGCTGATGCTGCATTTTAGCCTAATCACAACAGTAGGATGAAAAAGACACGAGCCAGCCAGGAGTCGACCTAGAATCTTCTGATCCGTAGTCAGACGCGTTATCCATTGCGCACTGGCCCGCTTGCGAGTCACACTGCCGACTGACACGATAAATGTTCAGCCCAGCGCCTCCCCACTGCACGACTCTGCTGAAAGCGCACTCAGGCAAGCTGCAGCCGCACACACACGTGGTGAAACAAACCGTGAAGCTGGCTTTTGTCTTCACTGCTTTGATCATTCAAATGTAATAATGCCTTGAAAAGCAACTTTACATTCCGTTTTATAATCTAAAAACTAATGTGGCTACTGACTACAAAACAACAACCTGGTTTCAGAAATAAAGTCTAAACAGCAGTTGTATTTTTTGTTGTCTGTTGTAAAATGAAAATTAAACTTGGATTTCCACTTTTTGTGATGACTTAAAAAAAAAAAAAACTGCCTTGAAGGCAGCTGTGCTGTGGCACTTTTGTTCCTTCGTGAACAGGAAGTCACAGAACTTTTCACAACCTTTGACACAAATTGATCTTGATGTTGTTTTTACTAAAAGTTGAATGTCCCCAAAATAGATGATAAATCCACAATTTAAAGCTTTATCTGAGCAAATCCGAGCTGGTGGCAGACATTAGGAAGAACTATAAAGAAATAGCCTACAAATAGTCTTCTTGCTGATGGTCTTATGTGCTTATGTAGGTCATACAGAGGCATTAGTATTACATTGAGACTGTTTCATAACTGGTTAAAATCTCCGTGCAGTAGGTTCAAGGACAGGATGCAGAAACATGGCCAAAGGGTATCTGGCTTTGATTACGGCCATCATTTGACTGACCTTAACATTTCCAAGTTATAAAAAGTCTTGGTTGAATCTGGCCATGGACAGTGATTATCTTGTGTTTGCTATACCCAGAACAACATAGTGATACCGGCCCATGGATCAACACAACAATTTGAAAACGTATTCACGAGCCAGCTGGGTGGCAAACCAAGGATCTTCTGATTCAAAGTCAGACGTGTTATCTATTGCACCACGGCCCGCTGTGTTGTGCCACCCTCAGAAAACAGAGATCAGCAGCCAAAATCCACCTGCATACCTGATTACTTCCTCTTGACTTCTGTCTGACCTATACTCTGCCTCATTATCTGACCACAGGAAGAACAATATCACATGTTGAACAGCTTATTCAACAGCAGTTTAAAGGGCAGTGCAGCATGTCTGAGTTATGAATAAACATTACCATTCATTACCAGCTGCTGCCAAGCAGGTGAGCACAGTTTCTTTATATGCATTTTATTTCAAATCTTTTTTTAATTGCATATTTTTCTAAATGTTGGATAAATCAGTATTCCCAGCATATTAAAGAGAGTGTTGGACTAAATTACAAAGAAACAATAGCAAGGACATAAAATAAGCAAGTAAAAAAGGTTGGCATAGAAATGTTGCTGCAGTGGCCATAGATTCAACTCCCTTGAACCCGTTCTGTCTCTCCTCTTTTCCTCTCACTGTTCAGCTGTAACTATCAATAACTTATTATGTGTCAAGAGTGCTGGATGTAGTAGTTTTCCAGGGCTGCATTCATACATATAAAGAAGAGAGCAGAATCAAATCTAGGATCTCTTGAAGTGGACTTGCTGGTAAATGTGCTTAGACCAGACTTGTGTTATGACTTTATGTGTTGTGTGGGAATGTGAATAGTGTGTGTGACGCAGAGCTCTGCATTGGGCTCATCTGCTTTACAAGGTTATGAAGTAACTGGGAACCTTGATCTAGCCAGCTATAACAGCTTTAAGGCATCTCTCTCTTCTGACCGTGGGTGTGCTGAATTAATAGCAAGAGTAAGTTTGTCCATGACAGGGTGCCAATCAGCACTGGAGACCAGGAACCACTGACAGTCAAAAGAATATGTCATACTTCGTTTCAGAAGCTCAGAAGTGGGATTTTGGAGTAAAGAAACATTTGGGAGAGGCAACTTCTGTGCCAATGGACAATCGCTCTGTCTCCTTCAATGACAACTTCAACTGCTTGTGTGTTTTATGAACAAAAACTGATTCTGTCTTCAGTGAGACTTACCTCTGACTCTGAGTCATCATGGGACAGGGCTCGTCTGTAGCGCACCTTGCTGTTCCCCCGTGAGTCCTCCTCTCTCTCCTCCAGCTTTGCTTTTGTCTTGTGCTTCTTCATTAGGAAATTATCTACCACCCAGAACATGAGGGCCTTAACGAAACAAAACAAATACTGTGATGTATTATGTTTCCCCATGGGGAATCAACAGAAGTTTAGAGAACATTTTTATATTATCCACCAAAACTGTGAATATTTGTTTTATGTTCATACACACACAAGATGATAGCCATTATATGAACAAACTGGGATGATTTAGGTACCCAATAACAGAACCTCACAAAACACCAACACCACTGGTGTTGCAAGACCTGTAAAATCAAAGAAAAACACACAGTAACAGCAGACTTACGTTGACGAAGAACGGAACGATGAGCATGACGATGGCCAGTTCCAGGTCGGGATTCTCTATGGGGTTGAGGAGAGCCAGCTGCGACACACACAAACATAAATAACACGCACACAAGCACAGTCATAAGCATACACAGCAACACAGACAGCACACTTAGCCATAAGCCTTGGACACACTACAAGACTTACAAAGTTATACAAACATTATTATTATTTATTGATTTATTTTTTTATTTATTTTTTTACAAATTATCAGTTTGAATTCCCCCTCAAAGCTCCTTTAAGAAATATGCCATTTTAACAATTCCTAACGTGTCTATAAAAACACAAGCTAAAGGTCGTTATTTTAATCTCATTGTACATGTTTATAGTGACAATAAAGGCATTCTATTCTATTTGTCCACAGTCTTCTTTCAATTTGGTATCAATGTAATCCATAAAAAGAAACTGTATTCTCTACAAACTTGTCATTTTGTTGCCTCCATTGTAGCTGCGCTCCTTCAGTGGGAAAAGGGGGATCGTTTCAAAAATGAAGATTTCTCAAAATAAGTGTGGTTTGTTGGAACCTCCTTGTTTTTTTTTTTAATCTAAAACGCTCAGAGTCACTACTGTGATGTTACATTTATAGGTAGTGGCACAGTTTCAGCCAGTATTACTGCAGAAAACTAATAAGTACAGAGAGTGACACTTGACACCAACGTCTGCCAACAGCAAAGAATTAGCCCCCACAGGTGTCCCTGGTGGTCTAGTGGTTAGGATTCGGCTGCTCTCACGCCGCGGCCGGGTCGATTCCCGGTCAGGGAACTACTTATTATGTTTGTCTTCAGTACATTGGATAACAGGGAGTAGTATTTGAGATGCACATGCACTCAGATGTGAGGCAATAAACATTCACACTATTGGTTTCACACTAATGTGCCAACAAAAGGCAGGGACTCCACTTACACATCGATGTTGACATCGCAGGAATGAAAATACTTTTTTTCCTGCAAATATTTTATGATGAAGGAAATGCATTCAACACCTTTCTTGAAGTTCAAGGACACATACAATGCTTTTGGCAAGTAATACTGAATATAAACAAAACTTTTGCTTGTTTTACATAAAAACTACAAAAAAGGTCACCTTTAAAGGGATATAACTGTACTTGTAGACAAGGATTTCAGATGACTATGAGCAATTAAGGGCCTGTTTAATGAAGATTGATGAGTAGGTTTTCTGAGTAGTTTTGTGCCTAATCCTGGCTTTCTGGTCCCACCATGATCGTTTGATTTATTAAAAACTAGAGATCACCTGTCATGGTGACTACACTGTAGAGCAGGGGTCTCCAAGAGAGTTGGCCACCGAGCATGTTCTGTAATCTCAATCTTTAATATTTTTTTCACAACACACAGAAACAATAACTTCCACAACTGCAGTTTCAATTCAAACTGCAGCAATCAAATTGATTTAAAATTACAAAACCCTGTATATGAAAATGACTTCAGGTGAAAATACACACCATTATTCTACTGAAAGCATCAATTTAACATGAATGCTTGTCAAGTATATGGAGTAGCTTTCCCGACAATTTTCTCTCGTTTTATAAGTCACTCTCAAAAAGGTTGAAGACCCCTGCTGTATAAAAACTACAATAACCACCTCATCTTTTGTGTGTGAAGAAAAATGTATTTACCATATACCAAGTATATAGGATTTAGTAGCATCTAGCACCTTGCTGTTCCCCCGTGATGTTACAGATTTCAACTAACTGAACACTGCTTGCGTCTGAAAATACGGTGGCTGTGAAACTTGCGGAAGGCCGGAAACGACTCATACTATAGTAATCAATGAGCATGCATGACATAAAGGTAATTTAATTAGTTTGATATTTTATAGGAGGTAAATGGCTCTGATAATGACCCATAGATCACTTTGTTTGTTTTTTTTTAAATTATATTAATGGGCACTAATTTCACCTGCTATTTTTTCAAATTGTTACACTTTCTTTCTCACCTTCTTCCACTGGGGAATGAGGAGGACCAGCATGATGAGGACTTTCTCAAACATCATAATGAGGATGTAGAGGATACACTGGCCCAACCACGCTGTGCACTGCACTGGCTCTCCTACACACACACACGCACAAAAAGGTATTTAAATATCTAGCGCAGGTCTTTAGATTTCACTGCTTCAGATTCACACAAACTGTTTTATCAAACAACACTGGCCAAGTAAGAAATGACAGTGCAGCACATTGAGGGCAGCTACTGCCCTCCATTGGGCATTGCAGGCATTTTAGGAATGTGCTGGAACTCCCACTTTACCACTCACACACACACAGTCCTCACCGTATTCTCCAAAACGCAGGGAGTCCCACTGCCTCCACTCTACAATAGCACTGACGGCTCTCACCCCAGCATAGATCAGCAACATGCCCAGAGAAGCATCCAACAGGAAGTTAATGAGGTATCTGGGACAGAAAAGTGGATGCAAATGAAAACTGGAGTTCCCTGCATTTCAATACAGTTTCTTGGAAATCTATCAGTAACATCAGGGTGCTCTGGTGAGAAAGGTCAAATACAGGATTAACTCACAGTGAGCAGGGATCCTCCTCTGTGAGGTCTGACAAATAGACATTGGCAAAGTGGATAAACAGCATCCCGATGGCCTGTTTTGAGGTGTCCAGGAACCTGCAGAGAGACGGGACAGTTGATATGCTTCTGAGGCACTCCAGCAGGATTCATTTCATGCCTTTGCAGAGAAATAAATTTAAGCTGGCTCAGCTGCCTTACCAGATCCTCCAGGGTCTCCTCTCATGTTTTGGCTCCCTGAAGCGTTTCACTGTGGAGGAGAGAAGAGTGTGTCACAAAGATAGTGGGATTTTACTACATATCAGTCATACAAACACAGAAGAACAAAGAACCAATCAGACAGAATCTCCTTTGTTTTCATTTCAACCAAGTTATAACCGTCATGTGAGTCAAAGCTCCAATGAGCATTTTAATGGTTTTATTGTCCAACTGAAAGTCTTGGTTTGTACTGACACATTTATAAGTTGGAAATGAGACTAGACATCCCCTTTTTGCGCAATTAAACCATCAAATGCTTTGTTGTTAAAAAACTGAAACGGAACAAGGGCGATATGTTGTTGGTCACAGAGGAAGCAGAAGTAGTGGACAAGAACATGAGCTAAAACTGATCTGCAGTGGCAATATGATAGTATGTGCAAATTACTGTATGTGCCAATGTGATTGCTACTCTGGGGTGCCAGTGATGTGCGTTTTATAAGTCCTCACTTCAATCATTCTCTCTGTGGGTTTTATGCGGGAAAGCTCCACACTGAAAGCGGTGACATGTCCAACACAAATAAAGGTCTTGCTGTTCTTCACAATAGCGACTTGTTTTCAATGTCACAGCCCTCTTCTTTTAACTGCTATCACACAGAGCTGCATGAGAGGGGAGTCTTACCACATTATATCACATCACTCATTTACTTTCTAAAATCAGACACAGGCTCTAAAGGAGTATTTAAGGCTGTGGTACCTCAGCTAGACTATAACTTCTACATAAGCCATTAAACTCACAGAGAACACATCAATCTCACTTCTCAAAACTCGCACTGAATACTGCAGTGTTGGCCAAACATTTACTCAAGGCTTTTTGTGTTTTTCATGCGGACAAGCTATACTGCAAGCTATGACCTCAGTTTCTGCTAAGTGTAACTTCAGACTAAACACACCCTGTGTGCAGCTGGGTGTGATGTGAACACAGGCGGAGGCCTTCTCCGTCTGCTCAGAGAGCTGCCTCAAGCAAAAAAAAAAAAAAAGAAAAGCAGAAAAAAGCGGATCATTCCTCGCTGCTACGAGTCTGCTGGGACACACAAAACTGAGACTGCTCTCATTAGGTCATGCAGCTGTCAGTGGTGTGCCAGACACTGACTGAATGGAACCACGGCCAAACCCTAAACTCTAAATATACGTTGTGCTGCCCATCTTAGCTAGAAATGGAAACAAACATGTGAAGGCAGAAATGAAACAAGAAGGAACTTAGTAGACAACATTTGTGAAAAATCGTTTATGTTTGTGCAACGTAGTGTGTTTTTGAAATGCACACACCGGTTTCTACAAAACAATCTCAGGGAAGAGAAACGGTTCGTGAAGCAGCTGCAGGGTCACGTGTGGGAATGTACCTGACTTATCAAAACTTATTCTGAATACATTGTGACCGTTTTTGTTCGCAAATATACACAAGTGTATTGGAGCTGCAAGTGCTTATTGCAATTTGAGTCACACACAATCAGTGTAAGCATTCAGTACCCCCCTGTCATTTCTCCCTTAACTTCAAGTTTTCTTTCGTTTACATACTCTGACTGCCACCTGCAAGATACGATCCTTATGAGAGAACTACAGCAGTTTCCTGTTAGGATTGTTTCATGGCTGAGCTTTAACCTGAGAGACACAGAATAGATATGATGTGGCAGGAAAGGTCAAACATGTGCCGGGAAGTGTGGGGAGTGCGCAGCTTTTATCACAACCACAGCAAATAACTTCAACAAAGAAGTCACCAGCTGTAATGTTACACTGAGGTGAAAGCCCTGGCATTAAGTTTTACAAGAGACAGAAAGCCTGGCTCCATTACTTGTTATGCTTTTTCCTGTTACAGACTGGGGCCTGACCCTCCCAGCTGAGATCAATGTCTCATTTGATTAACCGGGTGATGCTATTGGATAATTGTCCAGTTCTGTCAGCAGCTGGAGTCAGATATCTAACCAGCACACAGCTGACCTCTGGCCATACTCACACATCAGCGTGCTGAACGCCACCACAGCGAGAAGTCCTTGCAGAAAAATCCCAAACGAGTCCATCAGGGCGCCGTTCTCACAGCCTCGGTTATCAGTGCCTGGCGTCGGGCTGGAGGACACCGACGTGTTGGTTAAGGACACAGCGGGCAGCCCTGCTCCTCCGGGACCTGCCCGTGCCACGTCTCCGAGCTGGGACAGCATGTTGACACCACTAACAGTATCCATAGGACAGAAGACTGACTAATAAAGTCGACAGCGGTGGCTTCTCACACAGACTCTATGCGTCTCCCAGTCCTCTCCAGCAGTTGTTGGTCAGCTAATCGATCTGTTCAGCTGGACAGCCTTCGATGAAAGATGGTGGCATCCTCTTTCCCCACTCGCACTCATTCTCCTGCTTCAAGCATCCACACAGCCATAGCTGCTTCTGTCTTAGGAGAAGTCAAGTCGTACTAGCTGAAAGTTACAATAAAGCCCTACGTAGCTGTGATCAGATTCGTTCACTCTTTGGAAGCGAGCAGCACCGTTAAACCTCATTAGCTGGTGGAGAAGTGCAGTGAAACATTTTCTGTCTCGACCTGGAATCTGCGAGCTAACACGAGTATGTAAACAACACACACTTAAAACGTATGTTCGGTGTGTCGTACAGTGCGGGTCAATCAGTGAGAAACCTCATTGTGCCGACAGTCAAAGGTCCATAGTGGAAACAGAGAGAGATGCAGCGGCTGAGATGCTATCACCTCCTACCTAGCTAGCCCCGAAGCTAACGTTACCTCCTCAGTATGAAGCTAACGTTAGCTTAGCACACCTGAGTCTTCTCTCAGGTGATGGGAGCAGCGCGAGCACCGGTCGCTCGTGACTTTAACGCCTGTTTAAAACGTATCTTTACTGTCTATTAAACATGAATGATTTCAGTATTCGCAGGTCACGGCTCACGTTCACCCAGCTGCTTCCTGCCCAGCAGTGCCCACTCATGTTGACAGACGCTGGGTCATGTGACCTGCGTAACCACCGACTGCATGTTGGGTAATGTATGACAAAGACCAGGAGCCGTGTAATATTGGTTGCTCACAGTTTTAATTGCAGTCTTGTCTTTAAATAGCAGTTATAATCTTCAAACATGAAATAAAAAAAGCTGTTCGTTGCTTTGGGAACAGCGGAAACTACAAGCAAAGGAGTAAACAAAGAGCCTACGGAGGTTTTACTCACACAAAATGATGCACATTACAATGAATCACACTACGAGAACTGGTAAAGAGGAAAAACTGATTTACAAAAGCATTTTGAGAATATCTTCTTGATTTAAAACTGCCCATTTATCATTCAGTTAAGTGTTAAAAATAATGACTATTCAATGATATGAATTTGCTCAAATAATCAACTGCAGCTGGATTTGTTTTAACCATACACCTCATATGTGAAAGTTTAGACCTGTTCTGTGCAAATATACTGTATATTTAGGGCATTTACACATTGCTTATGCAGAAAGTTATTTGCTCATTAGATTATTTTTCTTTCACCCTGTTGCGCTAGAAGATATTTGATTATATACATTATATACAAACATGCCGTGTCAAATTTGCATACCACCATACAGTACATGGTTGTGCTTGTATTACAGAATCCTTACACTGTAAACTGCTCTTGCATACAATAGAAGCTTGAACAAGAAAGCAATTTGATCTCTTGAGATGAAGTCCCCCTTTATGTCTGTCTGTTGTTGTTGTTGTTGTTGTTGTATCTTCATTCAGCTGGATAACATTTGCAAATAGTGTTAGTACAATATTCATGTCTGGTTTTTACGCTAAAATCAAATTTCTTGCAACATGTCACTATGACTGTTCTTTCACATCTATTGTCAGCATATCTAGTTTAATATTACCTCTGGCTTTCAAGAAACCTGCAAATCGTATTACTTCTATGCAACTTGTAGCTTTGTGTTCACAATAATTATTTTTATCTTTGCTTAATTCATGGGCAAAGTGATCTTTGAGAATTTAAGTGATTCTCCATAAAACAAAGTCTACAAATCTGTTGGTAATCCAAGATGCAGCTTGGAGCTTTTACAGTGAAACGCATTTAGTAAAAAGTGCTTCAATGCAAGAGGGCTGTCAGGTACCATGTTGTGTACCCTCATCTGCACCAAATTGTTGACCATCTTTGAACTGAAATTAGACATCAGTGAAATCACCAGATTAGGAGGCAAGACCACTGCATTTCTGACACCTGCAGATGGTGCAAATGTTGATTTGGAGGCGCTCAGTCACTCTTCCACATAAAGAGAGAAGAAATATAAGAGAAGAATCCGAGGCACTCTGAAGACACATAAGTTAAGTCTTTATTAGAACGAGGCTAGAAACCAACCTTTTTTAATTTGAAAGCAAGTCCTTGTTGATGGCTTGCATTTTTTGTTTTGCAAAATGGGCTGGAATCAATAAAGGCTTTTATACTTATTTACTGAATTAAAGTGCCTTGAATTCTTCTTTTAGTCCTGCTCTGTGGCTTCGTAAACAAACTGTTTTTGACCTTATGTAGCTCTTCTTCTTTGTTCAATGATCAGAAAATGTTACTTTATCCATCACAGTCATGCTTGTCCGACACAGGGTGGTATATGCAGGATTCTAAAGGATGTCCAGTGTTAGAAAAATCAGAATTGGGAATTACAGTGTTTTTCACAGAATTAATACACAGAACAGGATATATTCATGTCCATGTTCATTCCCCGTCAGCTACGTGGCAAACTGTTGATAAAATGCCAGCTTGACCCTCTCAATGTGGTGGCACAGCTTGATGGCTGGTCCCAGCTTCAGGTCCATACACTCTTGCACTGTTGGAAGGTTCAGGAGCAGCAGCGCCTGTCCGTCAATCTCCTGCAAAAATATACATTCGTATGAGATGCAGTTTCAAAAATAAGTTTTTTTCAACTATCTATTAAAGTGATGTTTTGTTTTTGTGACTATGGATTCAAGTGTCTAATGCCCTTATTTCAGTAGAGTGGAGTGCACAGCCATCCTGAGTGCCCATTAAGTCTCTTAGTATTTCTTACCTGATCCAAGAAAATACGTGCAAGAGGTGCACAGTCAGTGGTCCTGATGAAGCGAACCACATCAGTAACGCTCCACTCCAGTGGGCTGGTGTCCAAACACAACTTCTGAGGAGGCTCAGTCTTTGAGGTCTATAAACAGACAGACAGGGTGAGTCAGACAGAGATGCCGAGAGATGTCTCATCTGAAGTGGATGGCTCACAGCTCATTCTAACCCTTACAATTGATGCTGAGAAGAACTCATAAAAGAGAAACTGGCTGTTTCAATCTTGTTGATTTTCTCATAAGCTGTTTAGACAACGTTCAGGTCACAGTGAAAACATCATTCAAAATGTTATTAAAATTAGGCAGAGAAAAGCAGGTGTATTAGATGGATGGGGCACAGAGGTGGGATTGTACAAAACAACATTTTTATTTTATGCTTAGTGGTACACAATGGAGAATTCATTAAAGATAAGAAGAAATCTGTTAAGTAAACTTTGACATATAAATACCACCAGATAAATATTTTCAAACCATTTCAATATTTATGGTTGCCGAGTCATTTTCAAACTCTTTGTGACTTTCATTACCTTTGGTGATGGAGGGCGGTTCTCATCATCGGAGAATGAGGGTGAGCGGGGTTTCCGGCGTCGACGTGTGGGCCTGGGTGTTGCCGGTGGGGAGGGGGATGGCGTGGCAGGCTGAGACTTCCCAAACGATTGTTCAGAATCATCCTGAAGATCGTCCTGCAGCTCCGAACCAGTGTCTTCACTCAGGGAGTCATCTTCATCTAGATCTTCTTCCTCTCCACTGCCCTGTGAGCCAAAGTCAAGGACAGATAGAAGTAAAGTGTGAGGATGAATCAAAGGTCTTATGACACAACTGATGCATCCTTTCATATAACACTTAATAAAGAGAAAATATGTGTGTGTGTGTTACCTGTGGAGACCCAGCAGGCGTGTTGTCCACTGAGGCTGAGGAGCGTCTCTTCTTATGGACGAAGAGCTGCTTCTTTTTCTTCCTCCTCCTCCCTCTTCTCTTTACTCCACCCTCCAGGTTGGAGTGCCCCCCAGGTGGACGGCCAACACGTTTACTTTTCTTCTTTCCATAGTAATATGCTGGTGACAAGACAACAGGCTTATTGTGAAATGCTGCATTTGACATGTCTGAAAAGATTTGAATGCATCATTGCGATAGATGGAAATGAATCGATCAATCAGATTTTAATGACTGTATTTTTTAATACATGTTTTCTCTACAGAAAAAGCCTGTCAGTGGAGGATATGTACTGTCTGCAGTGATATGAAAACATGTGAGACAAAAGAGAAAGTGTAATTGTTTGTCTGTTGCCATCAAATTGCATCAGTGTCTTAACCCCAGCACTGCAGTGCCGCAGCCAGTAAACATATCAACAAATCTGTGACTTTGGTTCGTTCAGCAGAAGATGAAAGAGGCCAATCCTGACACGTTTTCAGCCAACTATATCTGCTTATTCAACCAATTTAAACTCTATTCCTCTGCTTCACAGACTTTCTGTATTCATTAAGGGAGCATTTATGAACTTATATGATAACTTATATTCATAAGCAACATAAATGAAAACAACTGAAGGTTTCTGAAGAAGGAAAAGTGAATGTAAGTTTGAACACTGTTTAGAACTAATGTCACAACTGACAAGCAAGTATACAGAATGAATCATAACAATTAGAGGTTGTGTTCATTGTCTCCTTTAAAGAGAAAGCAGCCACCCCATATCATCCGATATATCATTTCAAGTCTCCATAATCAGAAGTCTCTAGTTCTGCAAACCACCTACTGTATTTGGTCTTGGTGAGGACAGAGCAGTTCTCTGAGCAGCGGTCCAGAACCATGCGAGGTCCAAACAGGTTCGGGCAGCACTCTAGCTTGATGCAGGTTTTTCTGCAGAAGTCTGCCACGCGGTCTGCAGTGCGGACTATTTCCACAGTGGCCCGGTAACTCTTTCCCTTGTACCTGACATTCAAAAGAAAAGTAAGGTTGAACAGCAAATAAATAGTGATAAATGATTCGTATTTTAGGTTTAAAAAACGTTTTTTTCTATTATATATTTATCTACGATATGGACTACTCTCACTTACTAAAGCTCCTATTATGTTCCTGTTTGATCTAGGAAGGTTGCTACAACCAGCAAGGTCTCTCTGAAAAGTAAGCCAGATGCTGTCGGCTAAATCGTCGCTTTAATCAAGTGTCAGGAGCTTGTGTTGGCTTGCGATGTGCAGATATTTATTTCCACTTGTGCATTCAAGTACCTGTTTAATCCAGCATGCGTCCTAAAATAGCTCAGCTGTGAACACTACTACTATTCCTATATAACAGAAAATTTTGAGCTAAGGATTTAATGGCGTTTCCCCTCACTTGGCTTTGAGTGTCTCTCCATAGCCTTGCCAGCGGCTCTCCTGGTCCAGCTGCAGCTCTCTTAGCACACGACTGGGCTTGTATGCTGAATTTATCAGCAGAGTCAATACCTGGATAGAAAACAAGCATTGCAACACTTACAGGTTATCTGCAGGCGGGAGGGTTAGGTCTTTTATTCTTTAATTGTGTAGCATTTTAACATCAAACTGTCACCATATTCACTATAAGACAATTATCCTTAATGTGTGACTTAATTTGGCAGTGGTTTAGCAGTCTTTTCCTAGACTCTACATTGTGTGCCATTGGTTATTATTGGTGAGATTGCTTTATGGTAGAAATGACACTGCTTTACCACACAAAGCAGAGGGAGTGCTCTTCCTTCAATGCAAATTAATTTATTTTTCTGGCACATTACACATTTACTGAGATGTGGGGAGGAGAACAAGTAGCAACTTCCTCTTTCTCTCAGAATGGAATAGGGTTTATGGGAAATATGGTCACAACACCATGGTGTGAGATAGAGGCAGCATGTTAGAATGCTAACATTTGCTAATTAGCACTAAACAGGAAGTACAGCTGAGGCTGATGGGAGTGTCGCTAGTTTTGAAGATATTTGACCAAAAAACTTGATGCTGATGATGGAATCATAACTATCTGTACAAAATGTCATGACAATCCATTCAATAGTGGCAGACCCACCGACCAAGACTGCCATACACAGACACACAGACACACACACACAGAGACACACACAAAGCTTAACATATCACAATCAATCTTCATGCTTGTGTTAAAGGATTAAGGGATGACACTGATTCAAACAATAAACAGCTGGACTAGCCCTTCTCACCTCTTTGAGCACCAGGGCACAGTTACCAGGGCCAATGAACTGAGGCAGCTCTGTAATGCGTCCCTTGTTAAGGTAAGGCCCAGAGAAACAGCGGTGGTTGAAGTAGATCTTGGGACAGCAGTATTTCCCGTTCCCATGTCCTTCACGTCGACACAAGAAGAGATAAAAATGGTGAAACAACCACAGACTGCACAGACAGCCAGTAGACGAGACATATCACAGCGTGGACTCTTTCAGTGAGACTCGAGAAATACCACTCACCTGTCTCTGACTGGTTGGCCATCTGCTGCTTGACAGCGTCAGGTGATGATGACTTTGGTGAAGTTCGGCTGTAAAGTGATGAAAATTGATTCAGATGTTGAAGGGCAATCAGACTCGATCCATTCAAACCAGTTAACACCCCCACCCTTCCTCTTATACTTACTGTTTCTCAGGCTGCACAACAGCAATCTTCCTCTCCTTTTCAACTGAAAAACAAAGGAAAGACTAATGTGTGCCCAGTCACACTATCACATTATGGCCACTTATTTGGAGGTCAGGGTAAAAAAACAGATCGTATTATGCTTGTCACAGCATTAGTAACAGTCTCGTTAAGGCCGATGTGAGAGTGGCAGTGTGAGTCCACTGTGATGACTCATGTTGTATACCTGAGGGTTTGATGGGGTGGACGAGTGGATAGCCGTTTGTCTCACACCAGCTGACAGGGAAAATGTCGAGGGAGTCCACATGAACAATCAGCTCTGGCATGGGCTGCTTCAGTCCTGTACAAACAAACACGCACACACAGAGCTATTAGAGTATAGGAATATATAGTGAGAAGTGGCAAAAATATCACAGACTACACTCTTACCCTGGCATGGATGCCAAATTCAGTTAGAGCAACTGGAAGTGACATACTTCACCCCTTATATCTTGACATTATGTTGTGTGTATGCAGTGATTTCAGCTGTACTTATAATCAAACAAATGGCATACAACAGTAAAACTTACAGTTAGGGTCTTCATGTGCTTGTTTGAATGAATGCAAGTATATACAAATACTCCTAACCTCCTACAAATAACTCTTAACTAATTGTTAATTGTGTAAAGACAACACAAACTTTATAAGAAATGACAATGTTGCAGTAAACACACATCAAAATGTATAGACATAAACCTTAGAGGGCCTGAAAACCTATTGTCTTAATTCGCTTCTTATTGTTCGAGATAAATGTTGCAAGGGAGACGCCACTGTCAATCAAATCTTACCAAGCTTTTGAGAGCTACTCTTACAACCTCTTTTAAAGACTATTAGGTGGTTAACATATAGCAGAATAGTAAGATGTTGTGTCTATAGTGTGCAACTCTGATTTCTGCCTCTTTAGGCAACAAAGCAATGATCTTGTGTGACTGATGGAAAAAAAAATTTCTGCATTCTCCATAGAAAATAGAAAGGTAGCTGCTCAACTAGGGATAATAGGTTAATGCTCTACATGAAATGGCTGTCGATGTGCTGTGGGACTACATAGAAACTATACATGTTAATTTTCGTCTTTAATAAACCCATTCTTTCCATATCCCATCTCACCTTCCAGGCTGAGCCAAATGTATTGCCCTTTGACCCTGGTGACAGTTGCCACATGAATGTTCTCAGGTGACAGCAGGTTGACGGCCTCCAGTTTCATGGCCTCTTTGAAGCTGTGCTCACACTGCTCCTAGCAGGCAAACAGAGAGGGAAAGAACTCATGTGAGAGCAAATGATAGCTGTGTGTTGTGTTAATTTTGTCCATTATTAAAACCCATATAAACATTACATAGAGTATATACAGACATATTTGCCTCTGGTAAAAGAGAGAAAAGTCAGAGCGAGCCACCTGTTTACAACTCATCACAGTGTGGACACATGGTATCATCCCTGGCATTTGATTACGCTGTCAGTCAAATGGGTAAAATCTCATTTCCCA